TAAGCAAATTTTCCACATCCTCCCCGTAATTCCAGATACTGGATGTCTTCCCTGCATTTATGGTTGGGTGAGTTATGATTTCTGCTTTTAATACAAGTTACAGATATAGCCCTGTTCTTATGGTTGAGTTGAGGCAACAACATGACCCCATAATGCCGGGTTCGGTTGGTTGTACTTCTTGCTCCTGCAGTGGTTTTGGGTGTTTGTCCAGTTTCAGCCAATTGCTAACTTCCTCTTTGTAATTCTGGTTGCTTGATGTATGACACACTGTTTACTTTGGTTGGGGTTGGTGTGTGTATATATTATATATATATCACATGCTCCATGTGTCCTAGCCACAATGTTTGTTATAATTTCATTTTTTATCTGGATGATCCTCAACCTCCTAATGCCAAGGAAAGGTTGTGAAACCTTGTCTGTACAGTTGAAGTTGGGGAGATAACTAGCCAAGGCTAGTTGTTTGCTCCAAGTGTTTGTTTTATAGAGTGGCTCTTTACCTATAGGAGCTGGCTGTTTTCTGGTCTGGTTTTTGTGATGGAGGATGATTCAAATTTGCGGCATTTTTTCTGATGGATTGTACCTCTCAGAACGTATTAAGCTTGTACAAATCCTTTTTCTTCACCTATGTCAAGTTCGTTTCCTTCTTACGGGGTGAAGAGCATACCTGTTCCAGAAGGAGTGTGGTGACCTGCATGTGTGCTTTGGTGTCATCTCTGAGCATAAGAGTTATTTATAGGCAGTCTATGCACCTACACTGGCCCCTTCACCTTTTCAATGTGGGATTCTAGCTTTGTGTGAGAGGAGGTAAGACCTTATCAGAAGTTAACATTTTCTTATCCTAGAAAGTGTATTTGCAATAGGTACTTACACCTTTTCACATGCTCCCCACCCTTATTTCTTGCTGCTGGTGTTATTAATTTTAGATCCTGCCAATTCCCAAAAGTGAGGATTAAGTGGGAACATTAGAGTGAGCTAGCTGCACCATTGTAGTTTGCACAATAATATTGGTTGAGGATGGTTACATATTATATACATGTTCAAAAGTGGTGCGAAATTTGTTGGGTATATAGACTGCTGCACTGAGTGTTAAAATTAGGGGGCAGAAAGAAGATTGAGATAGCTTTGTATTAGAGAACGTAGATACCTATTGGAAGTATATTTTTAATCTAAGAAAATTAACTTTTGAAGATTGTCTACAATGTTGTTGTTTTGTACACGATGATATGAAAGCTAACATTAACCTAAAAGTATTTCTTAACATTTTGCACATAGTTTTGCTAGCGTGAGTCTTTGTTTAGTAAATGCTATTTTTTATGAATATACACATACACACACACACACACACACACATTCAAACAAACACTGTGTGTGTGCCTGACACTATAGAAAGTTGCCTTTACTGGATTTAGACTACTTTCTAGACTAACTTGGTTGAGATATTTTTTATA